TGGCGGGTTGGCGGGCCAACCCGCATACAAAAATAAAAATAAAAAAAATGGAAAAAATATATATATTTTATGTTCAAATAAATTTTTTTTTACAAATAAATAAATATAACCATATGAAATTAAAAATGCATACATATTGTACATAATATATGTTCAATAAAAAAATATTACAAACTTAGAACAAAATCAAATAGAAATTAGTCCATTTACACCAAAATCAAAACCAAATTATAAACTTACACAACTAAATTTTTTGATAGTTCACAAAACAAGTTTAAATACAATTAATTAACTTTAAATTTTTATTTTAAGAATATTAGAAGCTCTCTTAGAAGAAGATGTCTCTATTTTTTTTCTTGATCATTTTCATTCTCATCTTCTACATCAAAATAAAATAAACATAAAAATAATTAAATTTAAAAAATATATATGCGGGCCGGCGGGTTGTGGCGGGCTGCCCCGCTATTTGGCCCGGCGAGTTGGCGAGCTTGGTGGGGCGAGCTTGGCGGCTTGGCGGGTTGAAATAATGGGCCTGGCTCGCCAATTTTTGGCGGGCCAACGGGCCGACCCGCGAGCCACAGCCCACTTTGCCATACCTAGTTTTGATGTTACAACACACCTGCAAAGGCCCATAATAATGGTGAGAAAACTTTTGGGGGTAGTGGGGTGTAAAGAAACAAGACAATAAGGTTAAAGCTTCAACAAGATCTAATCACCAACAATAAAGGTACAATCTTGACAATGTTTCTCTACATAATTTGTCATCCTTTGTCTAGTACTGACGAGTATATGTTTAGCCACTAAAAAAATGTCCCTATGTTGCTTTGGGATATATTTGATTGGCTGAATTATAGAAGAGTCAAAAATAAAATACAAAATAGATGGAGGGTGGTTGTCATACAAAACCCAAAATGGTATGGTCCTTAAGCTTGAATGAAAACTAGTGTTATACCAGTATTTAGCTAAGCGTAAGTATCAAAACCAAGAGTTTGGGTTGTCACAAACGAAATAGCAATAGTATACCTCTAGGTACATGTTCAACATATCTGTATAATCGTCCATTTGTGGATGGTAAGTGGAATTGTAACAAAAAGTAGTGCCTAACCTAAAACACCTCGTTCCAAAAGGTGTTTAAGAACACGACGTCTTTGTCAAATATGATGAATCTTGGAACGTCATTTCTTCCATGTGAATTGATGCACTAATTGGGAGGCCAAGAGCTTTGAAGGTAAGGCCAAGAAATATATACTTGCTAAGACAGTCACACATGACCCAAACAGTCATATGGCCGAAGGAACTAGGCAAGTGATGAGTAATGAAGTCCATCATAATATCTTCCCACATTTTTTGTTTGGGATTTTGTGGTGGTTCTAATAACATTAATTTCTTTTTTTATGAGGTACTTCGTTTGTTGACATATAGAAGACTAGTAGATGAACAACTTCAAATCAACTACCATGGAGGGCCAATAGTACAAGGCATCAAGTTGATAAAAAATTGGTTTGAATCTTAAATGCCCTGTAAGAGGAGTTGAATGGAATTCCAATAAGGGCTGATTGTGAGAATCCTCAATGTCAATCATGAACAAGCGCTCTTAAAAGTAGACCAAGTTATTGTGAAAGGTAAAGTAATACTTGGCATCACTCTCTGTAAGCAAGTGATCCTTCAATGTTTTTCCTTGTGGGTCCAAAGTGTAAAGCAACTTCCATTGCAGAAATGGTGGTACTTGGGAAGAAATGGAAAAGAAAAAAAAAGTAAAGAAGAATCATCAAGTTGTGATAGGGGGCACTAACTGCGACATTGTGGCATTTGGGACGATACATGATATCAAAAAGTTGAAGATTGAAAGCTTCGTAACGCATTTTTATATTTAGGAGTGTGGATGGCCTAGGAAAGTAAATATTGCAAACTCTTATGATCTATTATAATTTGAAATTTCTGCCCCACCAAGTATTGTCTCCATCTTTTTTTACCACCTTTGTTAATGCAAACATCTTCTTAACATAAACTAATTGATATTTCATTTAGTTTAGGAGCTTCTTACTAAAGAAAGCTAGTGGGTGGCCATTCTGAGAAGAAGTACATCGACAGCCATGACAAATGTGTCACTTTCCAACACGAATGGGATTTTAAAATTCGGTAAGCCAAGAATACGGGTGGAAGTGATTCTTTCTATTAATGTTGCAAAGCCCAATTATGCCTTATAATTCCATTTAAATTTGGTAGCCTTAAGAAGATTAGTGAGGGGAGTGACAATGGTAACATAATGATGTACAAACTGTTAGAAAAGAATGGCACAATCCAAGAGAGGGGGGGGGGGGTGA